TTTTTAATAATAATAATAATAATAGTAATAATAATAATGGCGGCACTTACATTTTTATTTCTTAAAGCCACCTTCCTTCAGCTTCCCTTCAGCTCCCAGAATTCCCCAGCCAGCGTTTGACTATTGCTGAGAATTCTGGGAATTGAACGCCACCCTCCAGATGCATGAACATGAAGTCCCAGAATTTCCCAAACAGCATTTGGCCGTTGCTGAGAATCCTGGAAATGGATCTATTTATCTGGAGGGCTGTCATGTTGGGGAAATTGTGGGGCACAGGCTATTTACTACATCCGCTACTTAAAATCCATCAAGGTTCCTTTCCCCTTACTCAATATGGACTAGAAACTTGTCTTTGGAGCTAGTTTCAGGGGCCGCCAAGACACTTAGGTCAGCTGGAAGCCTTCCTCAAGCCTTTTGGCTGGGTGTGCGTGCCAGAGACGTCTTTTGGCTCCAAATACGTGACCGAGCATCCTGAAACCCCCTATTTTACCCTTCAAGAGGAGGGGGCCCTAATCATTTTCCTTGCTTCCTCCCCCCCCACCCCAAGGCTAAAAAATTGATGATAGGAAATGAGACGAGGGGCTGCACAGCGCTGTCCTTTGCTATTCCCCGATTGATTGGGAAATGGCGTTCGCTTTGCTCAGCAAATAGAGCTTTGATGGATTCCCAAGGTTATTCTGAGGGCTGAGCCTGCTAAAATGACATTTTTATTACTGTTCGTAAACCACGATCTCCTGCCACACAGAGATTTAGGCTTAAGCTCTGGGCAAATAAACCGGGGTTCTGACTCAGGAAGGAAGGGCAAAAGGGGTGTGGGGAGGGCTGTGGAGGCTATGGGGCAGCCATGGTCAGCCTCAAGGCCCGGAGAGGGCTGGGGGACCGGAATCCAGCCGCCGAATCCCCCAGGGGGGTTTCTGGCATTTTTCTCCAAAAATTCAGGGTTTTCGGATGGTTTGCAACCTCGGGGCTCAGCATTCCTAATTGCTCGGAGGCAGAAGAGGGATGTGCCGTTCTCCAGATGAATGAAAATTCCCAACAGCCCCAGCTGTGTGGCCAGTTGCAAGGGACGCTGGGAGGCGTAGTCCATCTGAATCAGGGGGGACCCACCCGTTCCATGGCTTCGTGGACACCCCAATGGGGGCAAACGTGCTTTTCCGCCTTGGTGGCGGGGGGCTAAAACAATCCCAAGGGCCGTCCCCCCCCTGAAAACCACGAGGAAATTTAATAAAACGATCAATGCTTTCTGTAGCTTCGAAATTTCCATCGATATTTCCATGGAAAGGAAACGACTGAATAAATTGCTCGATGAAATTGTTCCGATGGTTTTGAAATAAATAATTGCCGTTAAATACAAGGAGTCGCTTTAAAAAGACGTTTCAAGAAACACCTCCTTCTGAAGGGTACGAACAATGATAAAAAAAAATCATTCTCGAAAGAGCGACTTGGAAAGGCTGTCAGAGGACGGAGGGGACCGCTCTTCCCAACCTGCAAAATATTATATATTTTTTTACTTATTGGTTAGATTTCTATCCTCCCTTTCACTCAGGAGATTAAAGCCATGTGCCTAATGCTCTCTTCTGCTGTTTTTCCCCACCACAACAACCCTGTGAGGTAGGCTGGGCTGAGGGACAAGTCACAAGTCACCCAGTTCTGTTCCAGCACCTTTACGGTCTCATCAAACCCAACTCCCTCTCGCGAAGCCCCTCGTTGCGAACTCAGGAAAAGAATGAGTTAAGTGTGTTGTGCAGGAAAAAACGGTGTCCTCGCACGGATCCTTCGCACGTTTACTCTTGAGTAGAACTCCTTGAGTTTTTTGCACGTTTATTTTTGAGCCGAACTCACTGAGTTTAGGGGAGGTGAAGAAAGGAAAGGGTTCTGGGCTTCAAAATTAGAATGATTGCATGGAAGATCCAGAGGCTGAGCCTTACTTTCCAAATGCGTCTGTCGCCGTTGGAAAAGGAACGGCTTTCTGTACATGCCTAGGGAAACTGGGCCCTGATTTCATCCATTTGGGGAGTTCAGCCTGGGTTCTGGTGAAGTCCAAGGCTCCCCGCGATAGACCGATTGGCAGAAGCAAGGGGCGACTTCTGAATTCCTTCCTTTGCCTCTCTCTCTTTCAGCCCTGCAGTCCTTCATTCGCTCATACGCCACCTACCCAGCCAACCTCAAGCCCATCTTCCACGTCCGGGCTCTCCATTTGGGCCATGTGGCAAAGAGTTTCGGGCTCCGCGACGCTCCTGGAAATCTTGGCGCTTCTGGGGCCTCGAGGCGGGGGAAAAAGCCGAAAAGGTAACTCGCTGGGGCGTTGGTTTCTAGCCCCAGATTTGAAGCAAGGGGAGCAAACCAGTTCTCTTGCTGGGATCGTCATCAGGCACCACGCATGGAGAGAAGGCAGCATCCCGTGAGCAAAAGGTCCACTTGCGTGGTCTTCTCCAGGATAGAAAATCCTCTTCCTCGTGCAGAGATTTCAGGAACGGGGTCTTCCTTCCTTAAAAGGGGGGGTGGGGATGAAGCTGCCCCAGCAGAGAGGTTGTTAGAGAGAGCCAAGTCATTCAAGGCCAGATGTCCCCATCTTCTGGGCCAGATGAAGCCCACCGGCCAGGAGTCATCTGTTCATGCTCAGAAGGCTGCTTGGAGATTTTTTTTTTCAATACAGAGCCCAGATTTGCTTAAGTAGGCGTTCATGGCTGGTACCTGTGGGGCAGTGTTGGGCTTTAGGGTTTGGTGACCATGGTCTAGACAACAGATCTAGAACGGTCACCAAACCCTGAAGCTCAACACTGCCCCACAGATCCCAGATTGATCTCCCATTTGAGCTTCCATCCTGCTTCTCAGATTCCAGAGAGCAGATCCGGGGGGGTCTCCACGGGACCTATGTTTGAACTGAAGCTTCTGCCCCTTCCGCCAGCTTGCAGACCCACTTCAGCAAGCCCCTCTGATCCGGCTTCACAAATAGGACCACAAGGATCGCTCACCTTTGGGGTGCTGTAAGAAAGGGATATAAAAGCTCTGCGACTTCAAATTCCCTTATGTATTATGTACAGGTAGTCCTCATTTAGCAACTGCCTCGTACAGTGACCGTTCGAAGTTACGACAGTGAGGGAAAAGTAACTTTGTGACCAATCCTCGCTTTTATGACCTTTGCAGGTCTGTAAACCAAAGGAAAGCTGAAGTCAGATCTTAAGCACAGTCAGGGTTTCACTTAGCGACCACGTCACTTAACAACCAAGTTGCTGGTCCCAATTTTGGTTGCTAGACGAGGACCGCCTATATTCTTTTATTTATGATTTTGATTTATATAGCCGCCCATCTCAAATGTATGACTCTGGGCAGCTCCCAACAATTAAAAAAAAACGATATACAATAGCCGCCCATCTCAAATGTATGACTCTGGGCAGCTCCCAACAATTAAAAAAAAACGATATACAATAGCCGCCCATCTCAAATGTATGACTCTGGGCAGCTCCCAACAATTAAAAAAAAACGATATACAAATCAAAGACAAAGGTCTATTTTAAAAAACCCATATCATTAATTAATTTCCACCGCGAAAAGTCCCTGGGAAGTTAGTCGGTGAAGACTAAGGTGATCGCCAAACTTGGTTTTTACACAGACTGCCCCTGGCTGTGGAGGATCCACTTAGTTACCACTACAGACCTCGCCGTCCTCATCTCTTCAAACTCATATTGCCGACGCGGTGCATAAAATGTTCGTCTTTTGGGAGGAGAAGTGGGGGAAAACTTTCCACCTTCTTCCTATCGAGAGACCCTTTTCATTTGAAAGGATCGGTTTGTACGTTTTAGGGCTCCGTCATTTGAGTTTCATTGTTCTGGGCACGGCGGCCGCCTGGCACGGTAAGACGTAAAGTCAAATAAATAAAAAACGCTGCTTATCTTGTTTATTTTAGCCCAGCCCGGCTCTTCTTCGAAGCGCCAGCCCTTCTGACATTTTATCATATTTCTAATTAGGCTGAAGGTTGCGCTAAGCCGTTTTTCCCCAACTACTGCGTTCGTCGTATTTTATTTTATTTTCGTTTCAAGCCGTGCCTTTCTGGTTCGGTTTTTTCTTTTTAACCTTTCGTTTTGGGTACTTTTGCCTTTTTTAAAAATTTCACTCTCAGGTCCCCTTAGTTTTAATCCAGAGGTGGTGAAAATATTCTAGCGACGTTGTTCTTCTAGGTTTTTGGGGTTCGGGGGCCGGGGAGGGGCTCGGCCCCTTTTCTTTCCTAGCTGTCCCTTTCTGCTCTGCCTCCGCTGTCTTTTCCCTTCCGTCTCTTTTTCACAAACGTTCCCGTGGACCCCCCCCTGCACACACGTACACACCCAAACACCCGTGTTTTGAGGCACCCCCCGCCACGCCGCATTGCTTTCCCCCGTGCGCATCCTCCTCCGCGGCTAGCATGGGGGGCGCAAGGGTGCCCCAAAGACAGTCCCTCTTAATCCAAGCCCCCCTTGACAAGGAGCAGAAGCGGGGGCTGACGATTCTGCCTCTTTGAACCAAATTAAGGGGGGGGGCGCAGAGAGTTGACGGGAGGGGGCACGTTGGCGAGAGAGCGCTGGGCATTGTCCTCGTCGTCTCAAGAACCCGCTGGGGACCGCCGTGTTTTTCGGCAGGTTGCTGGCACTGAACCTCGCCAGCAGATGGGCAACAGGACACGGAATGCCCCAGCGAGTGGGGGGATTTAAAAGGGCTTTATTTGGTGAAAAGTAGCCTGATTACCCGATAAAGAACATGTAAGATGGGATGGGGCCCGGCTTTGATGTCTCTGTGGCCCAGCGGGGAGTGGGGTTGACTGACACCAAAGTCTCTTTGGATTAGAGCCACACAGCGTTTCCCTCTGTTCCTGCAAGGTTGTTATTCTCTTAAACCCCTCTCCCCCGCCCGCTCGAGGACCCAAGGGTCTAGCAAACAAGCCCGCTTGCTCGCACGCGGCTCTTTCCAAAGCCGGCCACGGCCCTGCAGGAGGATAAAAGTTTTCTTCGCTTGGCCAGAAATCCGGGTTTGCTTTCCCACTCCGGTTAGCTACGATTGCTTAACTTGGTTGCCGGATGAACCCATTTCTCTGGGCTGGCTCCACCCGTGAAACCCACAACACAAGCGGCTTGTTGTAGCCTGTTCAGTTCCCCCAAAGAGAACCAGGGCTAGCTTGAGTGTGGCTGAAGTGTGTTGGGGGAACCCAGCCTAGGTATCACCTTGGGTTACATTTGGTTATTCTCAGCTGAACATAACCGTAACCATCACCCGGCAGCGTTAACTCATTTATGATTAATTTTTAAATTAATTCAATGTTGCTCTTTTGTCCCCCCAGCGGGAAAACACATGGGATTCTCCTATTTTAATTCCACCACGACAACCAACCAAGGGAGGGAAAGGTTTTAATTAAGAAACTGGATCAATTCACTCCATAAACTCTATTTTTTATGGATGGTTTTAACGATGGCTCGTTGAATCAATTCCTGGGCTGGGTTCGCACGCATTTAGACTTGGAACCCAGGCTTTGCATAAACCCGCCAAGTTCATGGATGGCGTAACTTGATGTATGACCCGGCTTGCTGATTATCTCTGTTCATGGGTGGAGGGACCTTTGGCCTTCTGGATATCGATGAACTTTAATCCTCAGCAGCCCCATCAGGAGGGAACGATGGTTGGAGACACATCTCAGGAGGCATCTGAGACTCTTCATTGGCTTGATGTTCCTCACCAGTTACCTCCTTTCTCCTTCTCCTTCTCTTTCTCCTCCTCCTTGTCCTTGTCCTTGTCCTTCTTCTCCTCCTCCTCCTCCTTCTCCTCCTCCTCCTCTTTCTTCTCCTTCTCCTCCTTCTCCTTCTCCTTCTCCTTCTCCTTCTCCTTCTCCTCCTCCTCCTCCTCCTCCGCCTCCTTCTTCTCCTCCTCCTCCTCCTCCTCCTCCTCCGCCTCCTTCTTCTCCTCCTCCTCCTCCTCCTCCTCCTCCGCCTCCTTCTTCTCCTCCTCCTCCTCCTCCTCCTCCTCCGCCTCCTTCTTCTCCTCCTCCTCCTCCTCCTCCTCCTCCGCCTCCTTCTTCTCCTCCTCCTCCTCCTCCTCCTCCTCCGCCTCCTTCTTCTCCTCCTCCTCCTCCTCCTCCTCCTCCGCCTCCTTCTTCTCCTCCTCCTCCTCCTCCTCCTCCTCCGCCTCCTTCTTCTCCTCCTCCTCCTCCTCCTCCTCCTCCGCCTCCTTCTTCTCCTCCTCCTCCTCCTCCTCCTCCTCCGCCTCCTTCTTCTCCTCCTCCTCCTCCTCCTCCTCCTCCGCCTCCTTCTTCTCCTCCTCCTCCTCCTCCTCCTCCTCCGCCTCCTTCTTCTCCTCCTCCTCCTCCTCCTCCTCCTCCGCCTCCTTCTTCTCCTCCTCCTCCTCCTCCTCCTCCTCCGCCTCCTTCTTCTCCTCCTCCTCCTCCTCCTCCTCCTCCGCCTCCTTCTTCTCCTCCTCCTCCTCCTCCTCCTCCTCCGCCTCCTTCTTCTCCTCCTCCTCCTCCTCCTCCTCCTCCTTCTCCTTCTCCTTCTCCTCCTCCTTCTCCTCCTCTTCCCTCCTCCTCCTCCTCCTCCTCCTCCTTCTCCTCCTTTCCTATGCCCCAGTGCAAAATGTAGCCGGGGGTCACAACTGGATGCATAAATACAGTCAGTGCATGAAATAAGCCGGTGCATTTATTTGTCTATCCATTTGCTTATGCTCCTGCTGTGCCCCATAACCCCAAACCGTGGGCATATCGCCGCGTTCCTTAGCAGCACTTCAAGGCTGTGTTCATCCAGTTTCCTTCAGCTTAGTTGTCTAGTTCTGGCTTTCATTGTGTGGCCTGAATCCAGCCTGCTTGGTTATTTCAGCCCTGTATCGTGCAAAGCCAGAAAAACGGGTGGTTTGGGGGCATTAGCTTTAGCGCATGGTGTCAACCCAGAAAATGGAGGGTGAATTCAGTGGCTTGCTTAAGCGCATCGTGCAAACCCAGCTTAAATGTTTGTGGGGTTTTTTTACTAATTTTTTTATTAAAGATTTTTTTAAAAGAACTAATGTAAACTAATATAAAGTGAGAAAAAGAAGTTGAAGAGAAAGCTAAACGTGCAAGAAAGGGTGGGGGGAAGTAAAGGAAAAATAGAAAAGAAAGATGCAAAGAAGTAGCTTCCGATCTTCTTTACGGCAGTTATAAGTACAATTATAAATTTGCCTCTTGCTCTGTGGTTACAACATAACTCTCTTCTTTCTATAATTATCCTGTCTAATCATCAAGCCCAGCTCCAATGCTTCTCAACCCATTAAGGAGAAAGCAGATCAGCGGTACGATAAAACCGATAAAGTGCAACGATTCGGAAACGTTGAAAGCGAAAGGAAATTTGGAACTGGCAACTGCCGTCAAACGGAGTTCAAAACTCTGGCTCTCCCTTGATTTTTCTCCCAAACGTGGGGCGAGACTGCTCTGAAACAGCTCGAGGTGGGCCCAAATTTGCAGCTTTGCCTTTTGATCTTTTCGGCCAGACGTGGGTAGGGCGGGAAGGACGCAAAGATGCTCCAAGAACGCGCTTCTTTCCCAACCGAGGCCAGAGTGCCGCTGAAACCCCTTCTCCCAGCAAAGCAATTGCTTCATCAGCTCAGGAGCGGCGTGGCTGCCAATTTTCTCGTGGCATTTACGGATGCCTTAATATCGCTTAATTAGTGGCAGGGAAAGCTGGAGCCCTTCCCAGGGGGAGATTTTTGCTCTGGTGCAGCAGCCAGACCGATGCTGTCCGACAGAGAAGTCTCTCTCTCTCTTTCCCTCTTTCTGAAATAAGAGTTGAGCCCAGTGTCGGATCAAAAATCTGGATGGTTGAGCCCTCCGAATTGGTTTGGATCTGAACTGCTGATGGTATTCTTCCCTAAGCCATGGCCCTTTGGTGGAAGGAAGGAAGGAAGGAAGGAAGGAAGGAAGGAAGGAAGGAAGGAAGGAAGGAAGGAGAGAAAGAAAAAAAGAAAAAGGAAGGAAGGAAGGAGAGAGGAGAGAGAGAGAGGAAGAAGAGAAGGAAGAACAGGAGGAGGAGGAGGAAAATAGCGATAGCAGCAGCTGTAGGGGACAGGGAGATGCTAAAGATTTGACTCTTGGCTTGAAATCAAGACGGAAATCTTGTTCTTTGTCTGCAGTCTGGCCAGACTCGTCTGCTAGAACTTTATGAGTTCTCAAAGATTAATTTTACTGTGCAATAACCCCACCCAACTCTTTACCCGCTGTCTTGTTCTCGTCCCCTTGGAAATGGGGGTTCTCAGGCCCCTACACAGGCGTGACATGACCATGCAAGATCAGGGCCCTGGGAACGGCGGTTCTTCCGTGCACCTCGGCGTTCCCTCCCTCCGAGTCTTCGCGGCTCCGTTCTTGAGCAGATCAACGTTTGCACCCAAAGATGCTTTCTTTTTTTTCTCTTGCCATTTTTCCAGGGTGGGTTCGCATCAGCCACCAACGTGGCAGGGAGACATCTGTGGGATTGCCAGGTGCCCCAGTAGATGCTGGGCCCCGGTTCTCCGATCCCACCCCCTTCCTAACACACACTGGCCAGCTTGTGGGGCACATGGCAGGTTGGAAGCCAGGTGTCCGACTGAACGAAGCCAGAGGTGTCCCTCTCCCGATGCTTGGCAAGATCTCAAGTGCCACCTTCGGATGAAACAGCTGCAGGATCTGGGTTGAAAACATCTGGTTGCCGCATCGCCAGAGATGCGTGGTGGGCAAGCATGGGACCGGTGGGGCAGGGAGGGTGCTGATCCCTTTCTGTCTCAGAGCAAAACAGTCCAGAGCTCTTAGCAAAATTCTGTCTGGGCTAGCCACCCCATTTCTCCCCTCTATAGGTCATCATTTATTTTAAAACACTTGGAATGAGCTTTCCAAAAGCTGGGCCCCTCTTAGTGTATGGGGTGTATCATTCCCTGAATTTCACACCAGCGGGACCCCCAGTTGGGAAGAAAACAGGACATTGTCTCCTTTTCTGTCTGTTTGTCCCCCTCTCCACAAGTGTATTAAATGTCCAGAGAATTAAAAAAGCAGAACAGAATTAACCCCGAGGCAAAGAGGGAAGTAAAAAGAAAAAAAAATCGAATATGCCATCTCATCTTCTCAACAACCCTGTAAGGTAGGCTTTGGAATCGGGAACCCACAGGAAACCATTTGTTTTCCTTCATGTTCTTCTCCACTTCTAATTATTTCACATCCTTGGGAATTTTGGCTTTAAATCTTGAAGGAAGGAACCTCTGGATGTCAGTACGATCAAATGCCCATTGTGGGGCGGCTGTGAGTTCAAGAGAACTGAACATCTCAGAGTCTACCCACTTCGTAAAAAGAACTAAATCTCTTTGCTTTGGAGAAGAAGAGAGCAAAAATCAACTCCTTGGAAAGGCTGGTTTGTCTATTTGGGTCTAAAAACCAAAAGCAAAAATTCCTTTTTTTTTTTTTTACATCGCCTTCTTTGGTGCCTCCATCTGCTGTTTCCCCTTTTTGTAAAATAGAAAAAGATCCTGCCCAGTATGGAAAGAATTCATTCTCTCATTAAGAAAAATGCTACCTAAGACTGGAGCAGGGCATAAACTTTTGGCTCGAAGCGCCAAACGGGATAAAACGCGGGATCTTTTTTTTTCTCGGTGCGGCTATAAATATTTGCTTTTTAAAAGCTCGCCTGCAATCCTTTAGAGCAGTTCTGGAGGGGATGAGAAGTGGGAGAAGTTGATTAAATTGTGTATGTTGGCAGACAGAATTTCTTTTTTTTCTTTTGATTTTACAGGAGAATTTTGCTAACAGGCGAAGCGCCTGCCTCTCCTATTGTTTTTTTTAATACCACTATTTTTATATCCTTTAATTAAAAATAAGTGTATCGGAAGCTGGCTTGCTACAAAGCCGTGCCCTGCCTGCACATGAATTTATAAGAATTCATTTATTGGTCACGCAGTTTAAAAGTATCTGCCTTATTGCTTATTATCATGGTGGGGTTTTTTACCCTACCTTTCCTGCTGCTAATTTTATTATCAGGTCCATCAGTTTCTTTCTTTTAATTTGACCGTGCAGGCCTCCTTTAATATTCCCTTGCTTTTTATCGTTCAGTTCCGTTATTGCCTTGATGATGACCGTTCGTTTTTTTTTTTTAAATGTGGTCGACAAAATAAAACTTCTGGTGGACTTTTAGAGACTTTTAGAGACTTTAGAGATGCATGGGTTGGTGGCCTTGGAAAAGGCGATCGATAAAGCCTTTGCTCCCGGAAACCTAAGCCCTAAAATCTTTTTTATTCTTTATTTCTCATCTCTCTCTCTCTCTCTCTTTGACCAGGCGTGACCTTCTCGAGAAGACTCAAGTCAAACCCCGTCTGAATATTGCCTTTGAATATTCAAGTGGTTTGGATTCTCCGGCTTCGAAGGTCAAGAGGAAAAAACGGCTGATAAAATTGGGGGAGCAGAATTCTCCCAGCTGATTTGGGAATTTTCAATGGCTGGAGGGCAGGATTGGAAAACAGCTGGGGGATGGGAAGACCGAACCCCAAGAAGTCCCCTTCCTTCCTGAACTAGAAGAGAAGACAAACCAGGTTCAACCAGGGTTATCCCCCACTCAATTAAAGACGCATTGGTGATAAGGCGGTGGTGTCTTACCTGAACTTTTCAGCTCAAATCCATTGCCAGCATGGAGAAGAAATCTTGGGGTGCTTCAGGGAGGAGTTTGGGGAAAGCCTGCAAGCAGACACGCCAAAGGAAGCTGGGATTTCATTTCATCGGGTTGCATTTTAAGGAAAAAAGGTTCAACCAGGAATACCCTCCACTCAATGAAAGATGTTTCGTTTCCTTTAATTGGGTTGCGTTTAAAAAAAAAAAATAGGATCAACCAGGGTTATCCTCCCCTGAAAGAAAGACCCATTGGTGATAAGGCATTTGCATCTTTTCTGACTTTTGGGGGGTCCAAATTGGCTGGCAGCGTGGAGGGGAAAAAAATCAGGGTGCTTTATGGAGGAGTTTAGGGAAAGCCTGCAGACAGGCAAGTCAAAGGAAGTTGGGATTTGATATCATTGGGTTTTAATATGTCAGTTTATCGGTCTGTTCCTTCTCCCGGTGTCCCCCAGATACTTTGGATTAGAGTTCGCCCCGTCTCAGATCATCGGTCCACCTGGTTTGAACTCTTGGCAGGTGGGGTCCCAGAAACCCTGGCAAGGCAGTAAGTTGGGGAAGGCTGAGACAGCCCATAATATTCCTCAACGAGGGACAACAGCTTGGCAGTCTCCACACCACTCTGAGAAGATTATAGAATACAGCAGGATTTGAATCCAGAGCCTCTCCTGCATCTGTAAGGGGTAGTCTTGGCTAAAGTTGGCAGTGAAGCAGGAACTGTCCTGATCTAGTTAGCAATACAGTAATAAAAAAATGATCCCAACATTTTGTTTTTTCGTCTGTGAGATGAGACGTTTCCTGTGCTCAGTCAGGCAGGCTCTTCCATTCTAGGTTTCCGCTCAAACCGGTTCAAGGACCAATCTGCAGAGCCCAAAGTTTCTAGTCCTTAAGCTTGTGAAAAGAGGTTGGATCCTCAAACTGCTGGTGCTTTAAATGAAACCCATGACTTTCCCATTGACGCCTCTTAAAAGTTTTTATAACTTTTGGGCAAAGGTTTCTTAGTGAAGCAAGCTTTAGTTTATCACACTTTTGATGATAGATAGATATTGATAGAGAAATGCTTTCATTCCAGTATGTTCTGTAATCTATCTTGTGATGTGCTGGTCCTCAATGCTGTTCACCCAAAATATTTATCTAGTGGCCCAATTCACCCCTTTTCTGGATCCATACAATACATTGAACCATAAATGAAAACCATAATAACCCAAGCAGGCTGGATTGACATATCATTATGCAACTAGGACTAGTGAGAGTCAGGTTTGAGTTTATTCACAGCCCCTGGGGGTCTTTGGGCCCAGCCTACCTCACAGGCCTGTTGGGGAGGAAATGCGAGTGCCAGCTATGCCACCTTGAGCTCTTCAAGGAAAGGGGAAATCCAAACAGCCGTAGCACTTTGGGTGAATACGTTGGCTGGGTCCTTACCTGATGGGCTTCAACATATGCCCGTAGCCACGACGTCGCTAAGGGGTGCAGCCAGATTGTGCTGTCGAGTCTGTGGCTGGCTAAAGATACCCCCAGCCTTCACGAATGCCCGGGCTGCTTTGCAGAACCCAAACTCCTCTTTAAAACGAGGGGAACGTTCAAGCTCCTGGCAGTAAATCGTTGCTTTCTGCTACGCGAAGAGACTTTTTGAAAAAAGGGCGATGCAGGCCATTCACTTCAGCTGGGAAGGGTTGCCCTACTGAATTTGCTTTGGAAGGAGAGTCCAGGGTTCGAATCTGGGCGGGGGGGAGCAACCTTTGTGAACGGAGAAGCCTTTCCGTGCCAAAGATTTGGACCGCGCGCCCGAGCTGCTCTCCAAATCCCAAAGCTACAGACCAGTCTCTCCCCAGAAAGCTTGCTTTTGTGTGGCTTCATACGTGGGGCTGCGCAAGATGCTTTCCAGGTAGAATTTCATCCCGTCTCCAGCTGGAAATAGACCGAGCGTCAGAGTCACGCAAAGCCCGTGTCAGAATTGAGAACGAATCTTAACATTGGTGTTTGTTTCCGAATGAAACGCAGGCAGTCTGGGGGAGGGAGGGGGGGAAAAAGAGCTTTCTGCAGAAGAGAAATGTCATTTCAGCATGTGACTGTATTAATCGAGAGCTTGACAATCAACATTTCTAAGTGCCTTCGAAAGATCTCCCTGAAAATGTACCATTTTCTTCCCTTTAATGTGGCTCTTTGTTCAGGTTTTAAGTGACATCCGCAACTTGGTTTTTCCTAGTTCTGCCTCAGCAGTCGAGGCGGCTATGAAGCTGTAAGGTTGTCTGTTGGAATAAAAGGCTCTTAAAAGATGGTTTTAATGTGCGATCGGATTTCTTTTGGGTTGCACAGAACAAGGGAGCACTCAGGGGTGCATCGGGAAACCTCCTGCGACGGCAGGTAATTCTCTTCGAACCCCCGTGCTTGATTCGCTCAACTGTTCTATGGTTTTGCTTCTTGGGTTGTGAGAACTCGGGCAATGGTGGCTTATCGACAGACCACACTTCAACAAACCTGGGCTTTGTATGATGTACGAACCCAGCCAGACCGCAGATCTGCAAAGCTTCGTCCCTGCAAATCCAAATCATGATAGGTGGCATATCATGCTTGTAAGCCCCCTTGAGAGGGTTGGGATCTTGAAAGGTGAGATAGAAACCATGACTGGGAAAAAAGGGAAGGGCAATAGCTACATTGATGAGTCAGGGGAAACCCCTGGTGGGCTTTTTGCTGAAAAAGGAAAAAAAAAAATGAACGTGTGATTTATGGTTTGATGATGAGAAAGGGTAGACTATGGAAAGAAGGAAATCATGGTGTAACCTTAAAGAGGGTAAAATATAAATGTAACTGCTGTTAAGACTGGAAGCCACTTCTTTGTAACCTCCCCTCCCTTCCCTTCCCTTCCCTTCTCCTTTCCCCTTTCCCCTT